GTATGTCGACGGTTAGGAGGTGGATGCTAGGAGACTGAAAGGGCGATAAGGAAAAGTGATGCCACAGTTAGGAGAAGGCGATCTCTGGATGGACTGCTACCGCTGATGCTCTTCTCCAATTTGGGGACCTCTGGATTATCATAGACATCTGGAAAGAGACAGACAGAACAAAATGAACAGCTTAGGTCTAGACACTAATGTTGCGTGACTCACTAAGGTATAGAAAGCCCTCTGACCAACTGAGGCCTAAGGGAAGGAGTTAAAAATAAAACGCAGTGACTCAGTCAGGTATGTACTGAAGGTGTCTGTGTTCGTGTGCAGTTGTAGACCGGCTTCATCGTGAACACAACAAACTAAAATGCAACTATTATCATGACAATGTGCCCAAATAATCTATGGAATTCTGTTACATCATCACAGGAGACAGACAGCTAACATAACCGGTTTGTTGGTGTCTGTGACTGTGAGCAGGTGTCTTCCAGCTCGCAAACTTTGTGATAGACAAGTTCATAAACACATGTCTTCACTTACAGGTCACAAGGAATAGCGTGTGACGCAAACTGCCTGCCACAAACATCTCCAGACACGCACAGTATGTCTGTGTGTTTTGACAAAATAATATGATGTTGTAACACACAGACAAAAGATGTGACAGGTGTTGCAGACACGTCTGGGGTGCCAATTTTCCATTTATCACCTTTTACGCAGATGGCATTAAAGGGACAGTTCACCCAAAAATGAAAATTTTGTCATTAATTACTCACCCTCATGTCGTTTCAAACCCGTAAGACCTCCGTTCATCTTCGGAACACAAATTAAGATATTTTTGATGGAATCTGAGAGCTGTCTGACCCTGCATAGACAGCAGCACAACTGAAATGTTCCCAAGTCCAGAGACGTAAAATCAGTAAAATAATCCATGTGACATCAGGGGTTCAACCGTAATATTACGAAGCTACGAGAATACTTTTTGTGAGCAAAAGAAAAGAAAAATAACGACTTTATTCAACAATTCGTCTCCTTCGCGTCACTCTAGCGCCATTTTGGAGAATATCCGCTGGACGCAAACAGCGTATGTTGTTCTGTGTCAGCCGCACCACACGGATACATTGTTTTCGTTCAAATCAAAGCACAAACAACATATAAAACGTATCCGCGTACTCTCCAAAATGGTGCTAGGGTGACGCGGAGGAGACGACTTGTTGAATAAAGTCATTATTTTTCTTATCCCCATGGCTGAGCAATGTTTGATTGACAGGAATCCTTGGATGGCAGGCATGAGAGAGAAGCTGAGTGGGATGTTCTGGAGCATGGTGTTTACATGCTGGAATTCAACACTCAGTGCCAACATACAGAGATACAATCTCATTAACTGTCCGGACGAACAGACGTTTCTAGCTTGTTAGTTTGCTTGAATCAGTACTGCCGTGACTTTAATCAGCTAATCAGATGTAAGTTATTTTTCTCCACTGGAGAATGGATTACACAGAAATTTGATACGTTTGTGACCCAAATGGGAAGTCAAATCTTACATTACGAGACACAAAGATCTTTGCATCTCATAGAATATCACAGTAATATTTTACAATAAGGTTAACATAAGGTAATGTATTAGGTATCATGAAAAAACAATGAATAAGATTTTTTATAGCATTCATTAATCTAGGTTAATGTAACGGTTGTTCACTGTTAATTCAAGATTGTTTATAATATATTAGCTTCTGCTATTGTATAAAATGTATACACTATTATTCAAAACGTTGGGCTCAGCAAGAGTTCATTTGATCAAAAGTGACAGTAAAGACTTTTTCATCATTAAAAAAATCCATTTCAAATAAATAATGTTCTTTTGAACTTTCTACTCAAAGAATCCTCAAAAAAAATAGTTTCACGGTTTCCACAAAAATATTAAGTAGCACACATATTATTTAATATATCAAACATATATTAACACAGAAAACAGTTGTAATAATAAAGAAAATGTTTTGTTCATTGTTAGTTCAGGATATTCAACATGGAAATGGTTTGTTTTTATTGTAAAAAAAAAAAAAAAAAAACCTATAAAGAGAATGGTATGAATACAATGCCCCACACATCTTCTTGCTCTGTATTACTCCCTAAAGGCCAAATAAAAGCTGTCTTTGTGTTTATTGCATCTGTATTTGTGATTGCCTGTGTATTTGTGTGACTAATATGAATTCTGAACGTAGTGTGAAACTCACTGCCATTAATGGGACTAACTGCTCCAGCAGATTTACAGACCTGACATTAAGAATCCTGCAAATGAGAATTTATGTTTCTAATGACTTCAGAATCCAATTTTATTTAAATTATTAAAATAAAAAAATGTTTATGCACTTAATTTAAAAGCACTTGCAGCACTCTAGAGTTTCCTGTGGCGGTTTTGTGAGTATCTTTTGATTTGTTTGTAGAAGTTTAGTGTGCAATTTAGAAATGTATAATTTCCATTGGTTCTTAAAGTTGGTCAATATAACGGGACAACAGTGAGCAAGGACGAGACTGTTTCTTTTGTCTATTGGACGCAGATGTATGGAGCTGTACCGAGATGTGTGGCTTCGGCTGGCCTCTTGCGGTTGTTCTCTTCCCCTCTCTGGCCTGCTTGAAAACTGAACCCCCGATCGGAGCAAGCGGGAGAGAGCCAGTACTCAGATTCCAGTTATTGGAAATCGTTGGGTGGCTCCGACCCAGAGACGACCCAAAACACATCCACATCCATCTGTCTCAAAACACACGCTCGGAAAAAAAACATGAACAGATCGATGCCTCTTTATTCCCTAAAAACACTTGAAGTCAAATCAATTTCTTTTCTCTCATTTAAATGGTGCGGTCGTCGCTGTCCTTGAGTCGGGTTACGGCGGTGGTGAGGAAGCGCAGGATGAGACTGTAAGGCTGGGAACTGGAGGGCTAGTTCTGCCACCTCTAATCAGCGCTAACACTAGCCTCAGCGCTAATCAAGCTAACTATAGCCAGGCAGCTCACACTCCGTTTGCCTTTTAGCTCGTGGCTTCATTAGTGTCACTCATTGCCTAAAAGATGTGTGCTAGCAGATAACTGCTGTGTTTGTTCGGTGTACACCGTGTGCACAGGAAAAGCAAATTAGAGTTGATCTCATATGCATTTTTATTACACATTCAAATCACATGAAGTGGAGTTGATTTTTTAACCTGGTACCCAATTTGATTTATAACAATAAATACGCTCTAACACGCACAGGCATGATTTATGAGCTTGCTGTGTAACTAGGAAAGAGGTGTGTGGATGCCACAGATCTGGGCACAGAAACCTTGGGTGTAAATGTCAGCTTAGTCAGTGATTTATATGCATATGTATAAGTGTCAGTGTGGTCCGTCTGGTGTGTGTGTAACTCACCGAGGTCATCGATTTTGATGTTAGGTCTTAGAGTGTAGTCTGGCTCTGTGGGTTGGGGCTCATCATCTGAATCAGAGGCTGGAAGACATGAAAGGAGAATCAGAACACACTCCCCCCCCTCTCTGCAGGATCTTATACATGCTCTCAAAGGATTTGGGAATTTATTTGTAAGCTCCTCTAGGTCATACGCAGTGGTGAGAAAGTGATGGTGGTAGTTAGTGTCCCCAATTCAGGCTACATACAGCAAAAGGATGGGACATGAATCACGAAACAATGGCCCACTAGTCGACTACTTGTCTAACAGCTGACTTACTGGTGTCCCACAGAAAATTTGATACAATTTTTTTGGACTATCAAAATGATGTGTCAGTATTATGTATTTATTTATTGAGTGATTGATTGATTTAACATTTATTAAATTTGACAATCAATTTCTTTGACACTTTTAAAGAAAATAATGATTAATTGTGATTGTTTTAATCTTTTGACTGCCATTAATTTTAACTATTAAAAAAAATCTGCATATATTTTTGAGAAAAAACTAATAAACATTTTGTTCTTTGCAACATACCATACAAAATAGTTTGGGTATTTAAAAAAAAATCTGTTTTGAAACAATATTAATATTTATTTTAGTTATATATTGGGAAAAATTATACATTTGAAGTGAATTTTTCTTTTAATAGTTAACAAAAACAGAAAGTGAAAATGTCATTTGTCGTGGGGAAAAAAAATCATAATTTATTTTGAAAATGAAATAACTTTTTAATTTAAGGTGAAATTGATATACAAATAAATCTGAATTAAATCTAATAGTGGGTAGAAGAAAAAGATGTTCTGTCAGCTTAAAAGAAAATACAAATTTGTCAGATTGCACGGTAAAAATCTAATTAATTATTTTTTGGAAATAATATTTATTAAAAAAAAAAAAAAAAAAGTTGCATGTTAAACTTCTTTATGAGTCCCATTACACACATTGTGTTTTTTAAGACAGCGTAAATTCCAACTTTTAAAAATGCATCTCAAAACTACTACATTTTGTTTCATACTTTTTTAGCTCAGTGGTTCTCAATCTTGATCTTAAAGGCCTCCCATGACTGCACATTTTATCTCTCTAATCTAACACACCTGATTCAACTCATCAGCTCATTAGTATGTAATTTTCCACATCCTTATAAATACATCAGCCCTTTGAACTCAAGGCACTGGAGTTCAGACCTGACTGAGCAGGACTAACAGATTCGTCTTGACACATGAACTCAGAGACTCCAAGAGACAGGGCAGAGGTTAAGACAGCACACAGTATGCTCTCTATTTCTCTCTCTTACATACTGGAATATTATTAATGAACATGAGCACTGACAGAAAGAGAGGGTGAGGGGTTAAAATAACACTCAGTGCCAGCAAACTGACTGTGAGAGAACATGAATCCTGACAGCACCTGGAAACAAGAGAGAAGAGTGAGAGAGAGAGGGGAAAAGAAATGACGGGGAGGAGCAAGAGACTGCTTTATAGCAGTGTTTCCCAACCTTTTTTTATGTTTTATATACTCCAAAAAGCCTTATATATGTAAGTATGTTTTTTAAATTCAGCCTTGACATTATTTCAACAAACACATTTTTAAATTATATATTTTTTTATTAAAATGATTTAATTTGATATTTTTATTTTAATGTCACAAATTCTGTTATATACACTACTGTTCAAAAATGTGCTTTTATTCATTAATTTTTTTTTTTCGGGTTTTTGAAAAAGTATCTTATGTTTACAAAGACTGCATTAATTTCACCAAAACTACAGTAAAATAGTAACATTGTGAAAAAGTATTACATTTTAAAATAACTGTTTTCTATTTTAATATTTCAATGTAATTTATTCCTGTGAATTTTTTGCATCATTAATCCAGTCTTCAGTGTCACATGATGCTTCAGAAATCATTCTAACATGCTGATTTGGTGCTCAAGAAACATTAATTATCATTAAAGTTGAAAACCGCTGTGTTGATTTAATATTTGATGAACAGTCAGTTCAAAAGAACAGTATTTATTTGAAATAGAAATCCTTTGTAACATTACAAATGGTTTACAGATCAATTTAATGCATCCTTACTGAATAAAATAAAACTTTTGAATGGTAGTGCAAGTTTAACAAAGCAAAATCAAAATCTATCCAAGTAACCCTGAGGTACGTGTGCCAAACAACAACATTAAGATGTGAAACCTAGTGGGAAAAGAGAGGGAGAGAGTGTTCTTTCTGCGTAAACAGATTGATTTGATTCTCAGAAAGACAGATAGAAGAGTTAAAGAAACACGGACTGAGTGCACTTCATAAATTGGATGACCGGTGGATCAATTGACTGAAAAATAGAATGGTTGGATGGATGGATGAAATGATGAGTTGATGGATGGATGTATGATGGAATGATGGATAGATGGACAGACGGCTGGATAGAGGTCGATACCTGTTGAGCAGCAGACATACACTCTTAATCTCAGGCAGCTCCGGCCATGGTGATGAGTGGGCGTGGCTAAAACAAAACGGCAAAATGTCAGTGAACTGTCAATCATCAGAAATACTGCTTAGGTTCCATAACTGTAATATTCTTAAGTATTGTACTTCCAGAGAACACAGAGAAGCATAAAGCATTAAATAAAAAGTATCTAGTATCTAAAGAAAGCTTGCATTGTTGTTTTGTATTATGGTAACTTCTACAACAATACATACAAAAGGTCCTACAGATACAGCAGAGCGTATAGTGTTAGCACTGTGTACGTACAGTTATAATAATACATAAATGTGGATTATGAATTATTACTCGCTTACTGATTTAGTAATATAAATAAGCTGAGCTATAAAATGTTAAAATATATTCACAAATGGGTGAATCTTGCACCGAACAATAAAGGGGTCATATGATGCTGCTAAAAAGAACATTATTTTGTGTATTTGGTGTAATGAAATGTTTATGCGGTTTAAGGTTTCAAAAAACACATTATTTACCACATACTGTACATTATTGTTTCTCCTCTATGCCCCGCCTTTCTGAAACGCGTCGATTTTTACAAAGCTCATCGGTCTGAAAAAGCGAGGTGTGCTGTGATTGGCCA